CTCATTGTTCAGTTCCCACCTATGAGTGAGAACATGCGGTGTTTGGTTTTCTGTTCTTGTGATAGTTTGCTAAGAATGATGGTTTCCAGCTGCATCAAGGTATTTTAAAATTTATCACAGATCCCATTCACACTTAAAGCCTTAATTCACCTATACTTTAGTTAAAACAGGTTATTGTCCTCTGGCCTGAAAAATCTGTCTGTTATAACACTTATAACAACGCAGCTATATCCAGGTTGCAAGTCAGTTTAAACCAACTCTAGAAACAAGTTTTATCTAGGCATGTGTCTGAGCAGCTCAAGCTTCTCCCTTACTTGTGTTAGTGAAACTTTGTCAAAATTGTTCCTTGCTGACTACTTTATCTCACAAAAAGTTGGCCAATTTCTTGCTTGCTTGCTTCTTTTCAAATCAAATTGAAGGAATGAATTAAGATTTTGGACTAAACATATAATAAATGTTGTTTAAATTTTTAAAGAATTTGGGAAAATAATCCTATTCAATGAGATTGTGTTTGTTTATACTTTATACCCCTTTTAGAAAATTGACATTATTAATTAAAATAATATCAACTTAATGTCTATGTAAATCACATAGAAATCCCCAGGTCATTTCTTGGTTATTAAATGCCATAAGAACAGTTTTTATTTTATGAAGGGTATAGTGTCAAAAACTATTTCACAGTATATTAACATTTAATCCTTGAAAAAAAAAGTCATATTCTCAATGGAAATTAGTGAAATAAGGAATCACAAGGGTGAAGTTATATATTATATAATTTTTGTTCAAAAGTAAAATATATTAAGTAACTGCACATTAGAAGTCCTGTATCTTTAAATGGTTCTTTAATGTGAGGATGCACAAAAAAAGATTCTGATCTTGTAATGTTTCTGCTTACAGACAATACAGGTAAAGCACAGTCATATAAATTATTTGTAATTATTTCAGTCATATAACTTTGCTTGGAAGCCATATGGTAGTCAGGCCTGGATTTTAATTCTCAATTCCACCTTTTACTGAAAATCCCTTAACCTGTGTTAACCTTAGTTTCTTCATCTGTATATAGCTACTATAAATAATATCACTTATCTTCATCAGGTTGAAATAAAATAATCAGTGTGAAATAACCTTTACTCTGTACAATTCTTTGTTATTTGAGCTTGCTGATATCAATGCTAAATCTAGCACAGTGATAAAAGTGATCCAGCTGAAGCAGGTTCCTGCCTCTTTTCTGCTCAACCAGGTTGATCTGGATTCCAGGCACATTGGCTGGGTAACAAGTGAACTTCCAGGAGGGGATAATCACATCATCAAAATTGAATTAAAAGGCCCAGAAAATACACTCAGAGTTCGACAAGTCAAAGTCCTCGGCTGGAAAGATGGTGAAAGCACAAAAATAGCTGGCCAAATTTCAGCCAGTGTGGCCCAGCAGAGGAACTGTGAAGCTGAGACTCTGCGAGTATTCAGACTGATTACGTCTCAAGTGAGTGCCCTTACAACATATTCTAGCACGGGATAATTGATGTAATATATTTTAAGAGTGTAACAAAATGTTTTGTGAAACTTGTTATAGAAAATTCTGGCTACAAATGTTGCCCATTTTTTCTTTTCATAGCCCTGAACACCTGAGTTTCATGCTGCATTTGTAATTAAGAAAAGTAGTAGGGTAAATTAGCAACAGTAGTATATTATAAAACCTGTGGAATCAGCTGATGAGTCCTCTGGCTATTATAGTGTTAATGCCTGTCATTAATTCCTTCTCACATGCATATCTTCATCAGGTATTTGGAAAGCTCATCTCTGGAGATGCTGAACCTACACCAGAACAAGAGGAAAAAGCACTATTGTCATCACCTGAAGGAGAAGAAAAAGTATACAATGTATTTATTTGTATTCTAAAGATATTTATTTCCCTTTTTATTCTTTTTTTCAGTGAAATAATTCATGTATTGTATATTTTGATGGATATGTAATAATAGTTTTATGCAGTTCGTATTTTTTCTTAGAAGATAAAGGAACTATCTAAAAGAAATTCATTATTCATGTATAATCTAGCTAATATTTTAAGTAACAGCAAATTTGCTCTATGCCTTGGGTTTTTGTGTTCATTTGTTAGCATTTGTAAAATTTACTTAATCATTTCTGTGCTATACCCCATCAATTATCTTCTCCCTCCTCCATTGTCCCTGTCCTTCACAGTTCAGCTCAAAAGTACTGTCTTCTTCATGAACTTTTTTATGATTTATCTTCTTCTTGAAACTTGTTTATGATTTCCCCAAACAAAAGCAGTTTTCTCTCTGCTGGAGTTCATAATAATCTGTATGTGTCTCTTCTTCATTTTTCTCTTATGTTTATCTACATGGATGCTTTACCTCTTCTACTGAACCATAGCTTCTTAAAGACCAAGTCCATGCCTAATTTGTCTTGTATCCATCATGGTATAATCACATACATGTTCAGTAGATTTTTATTAGAATAACTACTCTTTATTACTGCTCTTGAAATTTCTTCTAAAAATAAAGTTGCTTTACTTTTTTGGTCCTCACTAAAACACTATACCTAAGACTTTTGTACCTTATCCATTTCCAACAAGAGAAGTCAATTCTGACTAGTCTCAATATTCTAGTGTCTTTAAATGCTGCAAATAATCACCTTGGCAGCCCTTTGAAAGATAAATTTCAAGGATTTCCCTTGTCTCATCCTGTGTTTCCTAATACAGTAGTAGCTAAATCATTGCCCTGTTTTTGTTTGAGGTCTGAAAAAATAAGATTTCTTAAATGCTGGTAACTTCTTTCAGCATCTTTTGGAGATATCATTTGAATGACTACAAGACTGTGTAACTACCCATTAAATCAATTGAATTTTAGCAAATGTTGACTCTGTACTAAACAATTGTGAGAATGGCAAGCCCTCAAAAAGCCTGCATTCTGTTCTTGGTTATGAACCCTCTGCATTCCCCTCACCCCCCAAAAAGAAATCAACAAAGATGCTACATAGTATATAAGCAAGTTATTAAATGTGTGAAAAAATTGCAAATGACATAGGCTTTCAGAGTACCTTGAGATCATTGTGCTTTGGAGTGGTCAGAGAAGGCTTCTTAGGGGATGTTGGACTTGAGTTAGATCTGAAAGAGAATGAAGGGATTCGAATGAGATTAGTAGAGAGAATGGGAGCAAGGACTGATCGGAAAGACTCGCCTAACAGTAGGAGAGTGTACGTTGAGGAGTTAAGGCTGAATAGGAAAGGTTGTACTGTCACTTGGGTGCCCATGAAATAACATGATTTTTAAGATAATCTTTTTTTTAAGTTAGATTATTAAAGCATAATTTACATACAGAAATTCCTCATTTTAAACTGTATCATTCAATGAATTTTTACTCGTGTACACTAATGAAATCATTATCACAATCAAGTTTGTTTTGTTTTGTTTTGCTTGAGACAGGGTCTCTCTCTGTGACCCAGGATAGAGTGCAGTGGTGTGATCATGGCTCACTGCAACCTCAACCTCCCAGGCTCAATGGATCCTCCTGCCTCAGCCTCCCAAGTAGCTGAAATTACAGGTGCACGTCACCGTGCCCGTCTGATTTTAATATATTTGTAGAGATGTGGTTTTGCTGTGTTGCCCAGGCTGGTCTCAAACTCCTGGGCTCAAGCAGCCTGCCAGCGTTGGCCTCCCAAAGTGCTGAGATCACAGATATGAGCCACCATGCCCAGCCCACAACCAAGCTTTAAAACACATCACTTCCCAAATTTCTCTCATGTTCCTTTGCAGGCAATCCCCCAGCCTCACACTTAGAACCTAGCAACTACTGAACTATATTCTGTCAGTGGTGTGTTGCCTTTTCCTGCATATTATATAAATGGAACCACACAGAATATAGTCTTTTGTCTTGTTTCTTTTCACTGTAGTGTAATGCTTTTGAGATTTATCCATGTTGTAGCATGTATCCATGGTTCGTTCTTTTGGTTCCTGAGTTTTCCATTATATGAATTTGCCACAATTTGTTTACCCTTTCATTTTTTGATGGATATTTGGGTTGTTTCTGCTCTGTGGCTACTATTAGTAAAGCTGCTGTGAACACTTACATACAGATCTTTGCAGGTCTTTTACCAATTATGTGTTTTCAAATATTTTCTCCTAGTCTGTAGCTTCTCTTTCAGAGAGCAGAAGTTTTCAATTTTGATAAAGTACAGTTTTTCTGGGTTTTTTGATTCATGATTTTTGTGTGTGGTCTAGAACCCAAGGTCACACAGATATTCTCTTCTTTTCCTTTAGAAATGTTATAGTTTTGGTTATTTTGTTTAGAACTGTATACATTTTAATTTTTATGAACCCTCTGCATTCCCTATGAACCCTCTGTGCAGGAATTGAGGTTTATCTTTTGCATATAGATGTTCAATTGTTCTACTATGATTCATTAAGAAGACTATCATTTATCAATAGTGAATTTACCATAAATGCGTAGATCTGTTTCTGGACTCTATTTTGCTCCATTGATCATCAAACTGTCTTAATTACTGTAGCTTTATAAAAAGTCTTGATATCAGGTTCTAACTTTGTTCTTTATCTGAGTTATTTTGGCTACTCTAGATCTCTTGCTTTTCCATATAAAGCTTAGAATCAGCTCGTCCGTGTCTTTAAAAAAAAAAAAGGATGGAATTTTGACTGGAATTAACACCAAATTGATAATTTAGGGAGAATCGCCATGTCAATAATATTGAGTCTTCGTATCTGTGAACATGATATATATCAGGGGTTTTTTTTTACCTCTTTTTAAAGTTTCTCTCAGCAGTGTTTTGTAATTCAATGTACACATCTTGTACGTATTTTATTAAATTTATTCCTAAACATTTAACGTTTATAAAGCTATTATAAATGGTATTTTTTATTTCACTTTCCAGTTGTTCATTTCTAGTATATAAAAATAGAATTGATTTTTGTATATTAGATTTCTACCCTGTGATCTTAAATTTATTTACTAATTTCAGAAACTTTTTATAGACTCTTTGGGGTTTCCTCAGATAATCCTGTAGTCTTCAATAAATTTGGGTTTTTTCCTTTCTAAACTCTATGACTTAAATTTCTTTTCTTATATTACTGTGTTATTGCATTGATTAAGCCCTTAAACACCATGTTGAATAGAAGTAGTGAGAGCAGATAGCTCTGACTTGCTCTGGATCTTGAAAGTATAAACCATTCATTATTAAATGTGATGTGAACTATAGATTTTTGGGGGGTAAATGTTTTTAATAAGATTGAAGAATTCTTCTATTCCTGGTTTGCTGAGAATTTCTATCAGAGTGGATTTTTTTTTTAAGAGATCTGATCTTACTCTGTCACCCAGACAAGAGCACAGTGGTACCTTTATATGTTTCTCTTTCTCCATTTCTTTTATTCAGTAAGATAATCCATATATTGCTATGCATTTTAGTCAACATGTGATATTAGCTTATATACAGTTCATTTTCCTTAAATGAACAAAAAAACTAGGTGATAGTAGCTACATGACATAGTGCTTCTTTTAGAGGTAATAAAAATGCCGTAATATTGACTGATGATAGTTGCACATATCTGAATGTACTAAAAACCATTGAATTGTATGTTTTAAATAGGTGAATAGCATGGTATGTGAACTATATCTCAATAAAGATTTTTTTTAAAAGCAAAAATAAATGATGAAAGAAGTAAACAAGAGTAAGATGAAAGAACTATCTAAAAGATTCATATATAATCTAGCTAGTACTTAAGTAGCAAATTAATGCTCTATTCTAAAAATTCACTTTCTTTAATAGATAACAGGACTGTTTCAGTCATCTGTTTCTTTTTGGGTAAGCTTTAGTAGTTCTGACACTGAAGCAATTTGTCCATTTCATCTAAGTTTCTGGATTTATTGGCATAAGTTGTTCATAATATAACCTTATGTCCTTTTAATATCTGTAGAACCTGTAGTGATGTCTCTTGGTGATTTGTGTCTTCATTCTTTTCTTCTGAAATAGGTTCGCTAAAGATTCATCCATTTGATCTCTTAAGAGAACTAACTTTTTGTTTCATTGATTTTCCTCTATTTTTGCTTTTTTAAATGATTTCAGCTCACATCTTTATTTCTTAACCTGTGTTTGCCTTGTACTCGTTTGTTCATCTTTTTCTGACTCCTTAATGTCCAAGATTAGATCACAGACTCCAAGACCTTTGTTTTCTCATCTAAGTATTTAATGCTGTTATTTTCTTCTAAGCACTACGTTAGCTGCATTTCACAAATTTGGGGTATTCTGTTTTTATTTTCATTCAATTCACAATGTTTTCTTATTCCCATTTTGATTTGATTTGATTTTTTTTTTTTTTTTTTTTTATTTTTTTTTTTTTTTTTTTTTTTGAGACAGAGTCTTGCTCTGTTGCCTAGGCTGGAGTGCAGTGGTGAACTTGGCTCACTGCAAGCTCCACCTCCGGGGTTCACGCCATTCTCCTGCCCCAGCCTCCCAAGTAACTGGGAGTACAGGCGCCTGCCACCACACCCAGCTAATTTTTTGTATTTTTTTGTATTTTTTTAGTAGAGACAAGGTTTCACCACGTCAGCCAGGATGGTCTCCATCTCCTGACCTCTTGATCTGCCTGCCTCGGCCTCCCGAAGTGCTGGGATTATAGGCATGAGCCACTGCACCCGGCCCCATTTTGATTTCTTCTTTGACCCTTGGGTAATTTAGAAGTACCTTGTTTAATTCCCAAATATTTGGGAATTTTCCTGTTAGCTTTCTATATTATTAATTTCTGGTTCAGTTTCATTGTGGTCAAACTATATACTTCGTATGATTTCAGTCCTTTTAAAATTGTTAAGATTTGGATTCTGGCCTATAATATAGTCTGTTTTAGTGAATGTCCATGTGCACTTCAAAAGAATGTGAACTCCACTGTTGTTCTTTGAGGGGTTCTATAAATATCAGTTAGTTCAAGCCGATCAATAGTATTCAAGTCTTTAAGAGCCTTAATATTCAAGTCTTTAAGAGCCTTACTGGTTTTTGGTTTTTTGCTTATTTACTTGTTCTATTCAGTACTGAAAGAAGAGTTTTGAAGTATCCAACTAACTGGATTTGTTTATTTGGAATTCATTCTACCTGGTAGCTGATCTCAACATTCTGATGGACTCCAAAAAAAAGTTTTGGTTTTGTAGACGATCAGCTTTTTCCTCATTGTTAGGGCGAAAGGGACATTCTCTTGTGGCTCTCTATCCTAAGAAATGTAAAACCAAGCATCATTTTTGATTCTTAAACAAAAGAGTTTCTTCAGTTTTCTTACCTGTAAAGTAGGCACAATATTACAGTTTACCTTCTGGGGTTGTTGTGAAGATTAAATAAGATTTTGGGGGTGTGTGTGTATGTGCGCGCGCGCATGTGTGCATGTATGTGTATATATACACACATATCTGTCACTTAGAAGAATAACGTGCACTATAATAATAATAAGCCTATAAAATTTTAGTCTTTATTTTTTTCCTTATGATACATTTGTTTGATGACTGTTAAGTGTTCCAATAGCTTAATTTAAGACCACCATCATCACAGAGGTTTGTTAGAACACTTTCCTTTTAAACAAATGTTATTTTCATGGATTGTTCTTCAAGCAATTAAATGTGGGATGTGAACTAATAATGTTTATAATTTAGAAATAGGTTTAATCAAAGCAACTCAAATTGACTACATTGAAGAAATTTGTGAAAAGATAATATACTTCTCTGGATTTCTTAAGTTCTGAAATTTTAAACTTTTTATGGTCACTTTGGCCAATAGTGATTTCTTCAAACTGTATCCTTTGTCTTAGCATTATAAGCCTCAATTTAAAATAAATTTGCTTTAAAAATATACACACAAAATTATTTCTCAAGATACTTTGAAATATCAAATATACAAATTTTATTTAAAGAGACCGCTTCATTCTTTCTTTTTCTTCTTTTTCTATGTAAAGGCAACATCAGATGCTGACCTGAAAGAACATATGGTTGGAATTATATTTAGCAGGAGTAAGCTGACTAACTTACAAAAACAGGTTGGTTAAGAGCTATTTCATTGTCTTCATTAGTTTTTTTGTTTGTTTGTTTTGTGTGTGTGTGTGTGTGTGTGTGTGTGTGTGTGTGTGTGTGTGTGTTTGTTGGGTATAAAGCAGGGATGTCCGATATTTTGGCTTCCCTGGCCCACATTTGAAGAAAAATAATTGTCTTAGGCTACACATAAAATACACTAACACTAACAATAACTGATGAACCTAAAAAAAATTTTGCAAGAAAAAAACTCTCCTAATACTTTAAGAAAGTTTACAAATTTGTGTTGGGCCACATTCAAAGCCATCCTGGGCCACATGCAAGTCCCCCGGCTGCAGGTTGGATGAGCTTGGTATAAAGTATTTTGAAAAATTTATGAAGGCTTTTTTATGCTCACCCTTTTATAGGTCCTGCAGAATGTGCCTGCCGTTTTTTAGAGAGGAATGAGTATTTTGGCATACCTTCATCATTTTAAAGATTTTAATTGTGAAAACTTGCTTACCTTGCTGCTGTTTGTTTTGGGTAGATTTTTTATTTGGTGTCAAATACCCAGTTATATCAGATTTGGTTTGTATTTCCCATATTTCTTTTCCCCCATTCTTTTGTATGTTGGCTGAGCAATTAACAGTGTTAACTATACCAGTGTTAATATTTTTAAATATAACCAGGTGAGGAAATAGCACTATATTGTTCATATAATGGGGTGCTCATAACATAAAAATATCACTTCAAAAGTCAAATAAAGTATAGATTTTAAATTAACCTATTATTCTAACTTTTTTGAGATGGCGTCTCACTCTGTCGCCTAGGCTGGAGTGCAGTGGAGTGATCTCGGCTCACTGTAAGCTCTACCTCCTGGGTTCACACCATTCTCCTGCCTCAGCCTCCCAGGTAGCTGGGACTACAGATGCCCACCACAACGCCCGGCTAATTTTTTTGTATTTTTGATAGAGACGGGGTTTCACCGTGTTAGGATGGTCTCAATCTGCTGACCTCATGATCCGTCCACCTTGGCCTCCCAAAGTGCTGGGATTACAGGCGTGAGCCACGGCGCCCGGCCCTATTCTAACTTTCTACACTATTATTCTTTTCAATAAATTACAACATGAATTTATTTTTGCTTTATCTTTCTAGCAGTGTTTCATTTAATCTTAGATGCTTTCAGTTGTAAAATGTCATGTATAATTTCAGTATTGTGAATCTTACCAGCTATAAAGTACCTTATGAACATAATGGTAAACCATGAGAAAAAGTGTCTTCGGTGATAAAATTGATGATTGGTTTCTGATGTGCTAAACTGCAAGCATAGGCATTAATAACTTGCATATAATTAGTTTACACATAGTAGTTGATTTAAATATTTCCATTTTTATTGTGGCTCCCCTAGCTTTACCTGTTTTTCAGATGAGTTAAGAGAATGACATATGATGGAGAATTAACTGGGAGAATAGTATTAAAATTGGGTGTCAATTTACATTCTTGTCTTATTCTTTTGTTTGCTTGTTTTGCTAGGAGTAGTAAATCAAACTTATATTTTTACATGTTCTATGCTAACTTTAAATAGGTGTGTGCTCATATTGTCCAAGCTATTCGCATGGAAGCTACCAGAGTCCGTGAAGAATGGGAACATGCTATATCAAGCAAAGAAAATGCCAATTCTCAGCCAAATGATGAAGATGCCTCCTCTGATGCCTACTGCTTTGAGCTGCTCTCTATGGTTTTAGCACTGAGTGGCTCTAACGTTGGCCGGCAGTATCTGGCTCAGCAGCTAACTCTGCTTCAGGATCTCTTCTCGCTGCTTCACACAGCCTCTCCTAGAGTCCAGAGACAGGTGACTGATCACACCACAGCCTTGCCATTGCTTGTGTTACTTGACCATTGTTAAAAGTTGCAATGCAAAGATAATTATCTAAGGATCCTAAATATAGATTTTTACTTTGTAGTTTATTTTGTTTGGGGCCTGTATTTTACTCCTTTTTTTTTTTTTTTAACTGTTTATTATGAGAGTATAGAATACTAAAATATGTTCCATTTTTAATGTGTTGTGATAAAAGAGTATTCTGGCTACTGATTACCATATTACCATGAAATATATAATGTCATTTAGCCCGGACCAGAAAGAAAAGGTATTTTTTTTTCTTGCTGCCTTGGGTTAGTAATTACCACTACTATTACCATTTGAATATTATGTATATCATATTTCCTTCCTTCGCAAAATGTAAAATAGTGTTCAAATCATATTTCTTTTCTTAAAGATTTTGAAGTTACAGAATGGTAGTTAGGTACATTAAAAAATGAAGCCTGGGACAGTGTGCAGTGACTTATGCCTGTAATCCCAGCACTTAGGGAGGCAAAGCTGAGAGGATCCCTTGAGCCTGGGAGTTCAAGGCTTCAGTGAGCTGTGGTCGCTCCACTGCACTCCAACCTGGGCAACAAAGCAAGACCCTGTCTTAAAAAAAAATGAAAAAGAAAAGAAAACCTTAAAATACCAGTCTTTACATGGAATTCTCTCATTTTATTTTTCTTACCAGGTAACCTCTTTACTAAGAAGAGTTTTGCCTGAAGTAACCCCTAATCGTCTGGCCAGCATCATAGGAGTGAAATCCCTCCCCCCAGCAGATATCAGTGATATCATTCACTCAACAGAGAAAGGAGACTGGAATAAGCTGGGTATCTTGGACATGTTTCTAGGATGCATTGCCAAAGCACTCACTGTACAGCTAAAAGCCAAAGGAACCACCATCACAGGAACAGCTGGTACCACTGTGGGCAAAGGAGTTACCACAGTTACTCTTCCAATGATTTTCAATTCCAGGTTAGTTATTGCCTCTATTTTAGTACCAAAACAGAATAGAGTGAGCTACTGTTCAGAAATTTAAGACATAATTTCAAATTTTACCTTGTTAGGTTACTCACGAAATAAAATCCATAAACAACTGGCTCATATATAAAAAGAATGTCATGTATATAATAAAAGTATCAATTGCAATTAGTGGGGATTAGAAAGTAAGCTGAATATGTGATGTCAGAATATTTGGATATCCATGTTAAAAAAATTCTAGATACCCACCTCTCATCATACACAAAATTAAACTTCAGTTTTAGGTAATTTTTTTTTTTTTTGCCACAATAAAAAGAAATAAACGTGGAGGAATAAAGTAAAGTTCAGGTCAATTAAAGCTTTATGTACATTTCTTTTTAAAACTGTACTAGGACAAATTATAGAAAAATATTTTTGTAATCTTCAATTTGGTAAGATCTTCTTAAACAAAACACAGAACCCAAAGTCATATAGGAAGAAATTTATAGATTTGACTATATAAAAATGAAAATTACTTGGTAAGTGATAATAATTAGATGTTTTAAAATATAAGCAACTCACTTAGAAAAATATTTAAACCTATGTAATAGACAATGACTTATTAGCATAATATAGGAGAATGACTACAAATCAATTTTAAAAAGGCAAACAACTGATAAGAATAATAAATGACAAAAACAGTCAGTTCACAGAAAAAAACTTATAAATGCCAGTAAACAAATGAGAATACCTCACTACTAATCAGATAAATGTAGATTAAAATAATTGCAAAGTGTCTTTGATGCTTTGGTAACATTATGAGGAAATAGGCATTTTCATCTCATATAAATTGCTGCAGCCCTTTTGGATATCTGTTTAATAATATCTATATTTTAAACATGCTTATCTTTTGACCTACCAATTCTACTTCTAAAACTTTCATACATTTGCACCAAGATATATATACAAGGATGTTCTGTAATTGTGTGTAACGGTAGAGAATTAGAGACATCTGGAACAGTGCTGCTTGTGGAGTCAATCCATGACAATATGCAGACAACATCAGAATGTTAATCATTGTATCACTTCTTCCTGTAGTCTTGCTAGGAAAAAAGTCAGCTGAACTAAATAGTAGTGTGCTTAGTGATATAGTGAATTTATGTTCTGGCACAAGCTTCACATTATCTGCATATGCACTAGAAATAAGTTGTGTGTGGTTCCTGGACTGTACTTCTAAAAGCTGCACACAGAAATAATGTGCAAACAGAGAAATACTTGGAAACTCCAATTGCTTTAACTGCTGTCTTGGGATTTGGGGTAATGGTTTGATGAATTTTCTTTTTAAATGTCTTAATTGATTGTCACTTAAAAATCTAAAATGCTGCATTCTGAAATAACATTTTTATCTTTTTCATTTGTAAGTGCTACTGATAATTTATTGGCTTTGTAAATGCTAATTTTTCTTGTAGTTATCTCCGACGAGGTGAAAGTCATTGGTGGATGAAGGGCTCAACCCCTACCCAGATCTCAGAGATCATCATTAAACTTATCAAGGATATGGCAGCAGTAAGTTCCCATTCTTCTGACTGTTTTGGCAGGGAAGTGCAGCAGGAATCTGACAAAACAGCTTACTCTGCTGAACTGATAGGAGTTGTAGATTAGTGTAACTTTACTTAAAGACTATTTTTAGTATGTTAATTATCATGCTGTTTGTCTTTTCAGTGAGTGATAAATTTGTCATTTATGTAAACCATGTTCATTTCCAATTTTCCAGTTAATTTGTGTGAGAATTGTTACGTGACTTTAAAATCCAGTAAAATAAAATATGCCCTTTCAGACCCTAAGAAAGAACTTGATTCCAAAAACCTAAAGGAAAAAAGGGAGAAGAGAGCTCTCGGAAGTGGAAGTTTCTCATTCTCCTCAGTCCTCATGGTTTTTAAACTCTTTATTCTTCTTTATTAATGTCCTATGCCCTCTGTCTTAAGATGGTGGCTTCCAAAAGAGATCTGGGAGTGTGGAGGTCAGGGAGTTACTTTACAGCATGCCTGGCTCTGATGAGTTGCTCCTTGACATTTGCCACACATTCTATTGTATTTCTAGGAGACCAGCCTGAGAAGGACAAGATAGTGTGGAATGTAGAGTCAGAGGGAATAGAAGGCAGCTTGGAGACGGAGGAGGAATTGAACCGCCCCTTAAATCATGTGGATATAAGAAGTGGGAGGATTTTCTGGGGGAAAAATGAAATTCTATCACT